ATTTGTCTCTGTTCATGTGTCTCCCTGAGTGGTGGTGTCCGACTCTCCGGTCTTGTCTGTGCCTTGTCTCCCTTCATTTGTCTCCCTTCATGTGTCTCCCTGAGTGGTGGTGTCCGCCTCGCCGCTCTTGTCTGTGCCTTGTCTCCCTTCATTTGTCTCCGTTCATGTGTCTCCCTGAGTTGTGGTGTCCGCCTCTCCGGTCTTGTCTGTGCCTTGTCTCCCTTCATGTGTCTCCCTGAGTGGTGGTGTCCGCCTCTCCGGTCTTGTCTGTGCCTTGTCTCCCTTCATTTGTCTCCCTGAGTGGTGGTGTCCACCTCTCCGGTCTTGTCTGTGCCTTGTCTCCCTTCATTTGTCTCTGTTCATGTGTCTCCCTGAGTGGTGGTGTCCGCCTCTCCGGTCTTGTCTGTGCCTTGTCTCCCTTCATTTGTCTCCCTTCATGTGTCTACCTGAGTGGTGGTGTCCGCCTCTCCGGTCTTGTCTGTGCCTTGTCTCCCTTCATGTGTCTCCCTGAGTGGTGGTGTCGGCCTCTCCGGTCTTGTCTGTGCCTTGTCTCCCTTCATTTGTCTCCCATCATGTGTCTCCCTGAGTGGTGGTGTCCGCCTCTCCTGTCTTGTCTGTGCCTTGTCTCCCTTCATGTGTCTCCCTGAGTGGTGTGTCCGCCTCTCCGGTCTTGTCTGTGCCTTGTCTCCCTTCATTTGTCTCCCTTCATGTGTCTCCCTGAGTGGTGGTGTCTGCCTCGCCGGTCTTGTCTGTGCCTTGTCTCCCTTCCTTTGTCTCCCTTCATGTGCCTCCCTGAGTGGTGGTGTCCGCCTCTCCGGTCTTGTCTGTGCCTTGTCTCCCTTCATTTTACTCCCTTCAGAACTTCATGTGTCTCCCGAAGTGGTGGTGTTCGACTCTCCGGTCTTGTCTGTGCCTTGTCTCCCTTCATTTGTCTCCCTTCATGTGTCTCCCTGAGTGGTGGTGTCCGCCTCTCCGGTCTTGTCTGTGCCTTGTTTCCCTTCATTTGTCTCCCTTCATGTGTCTCCCTGAGTGGTGGTGTCCGCCTCTCCTGCCTTGTCTCCCTTCATTTGTCTCCCTTCATGTGTCTCCCTGAGTGGTGGTGTCCGCCTCTCCGGTCTTGTCTGTGCCTTGTCTCCCTTCATTTGTCTTCCTTCATGTGTCTCCCTGAGTGGTGGTGTCCGCCTCTCCGGTCTTGTCTGTGCCTTGTCTCCCTTCATTTGTCTCCGTTCATGTGTCTCCCTGAGTGGTGGTGTCCGCCTCGCCGGTCTTGTCTGTGCCTTGTCTCCCTTCATTTGTCTCCCTTCATGTGTCTCCCTGAGTGGTTGTGTCCGCCTCGCCGGTCTTGTCTGTGCCTTGTCTCCCTTCATTTGTCTCCCTGAGTGGTGGTGTCCGCCTCTCCGGTCTTGTCTGTGCCTTGTCTCCTTTCATTTGTCTCCCATCATGTGTTTCCCTGAGTGGCGGTGTCCGCCTCTCCTGTCTTGTCTGTGCCTTGTCTCCCTTCATGTGTCTCCCTGCGTGGTGGTGTCCGCCTCTCCGGTCTTGTCTGTGCCTTGTCTCCCTTCATTTGTCTCCCATCATGTGTCTCCCTGACTGGTGGTGTCCGCCTCTTCGGTCTTGTCTGTTCCTTTTTCCTTCATTTGTCTCCCTTCCTTTGTCTCCCTTCATGTGTTTCCCTGAGTGGTGGTGTCCGCCTCGCCGGTCTTGTCTGTGCCTTGTCTCCCTTCATTTGTCTGTCTTCATATGTCTCCCTGAGTGGTGGTGTCCGCCTTTTCGGTCTTGTCTTTGCCTTGTCTCCCTTCATTTGTCTCCCATCATGTGTTTCCCTGAGTGGCGGTGTCCGCCTCTCCGGTCTTGTCGCCTCCGCTTGTCTCCCATAGCCTTCCCTTTTGTGTGCCTGTGTTTGGATGGTATGACCCACTGTCTCCCATTGTCCTCCCTACATATGTGCCTGCGTTGGATTTCCGAGGTCTTGCCTCCGCTTGTCTCTCATTGTCTCCCCACAAGTGCGTCTGTCCTGGATGGTGTGTCCGCTTTCCCGAGGTCTTGTCTCGCATGGTCTTCCTTCTTGTGTCCCTCTGTTGGATGGTATGCCCGCTTTCCCGTCTTGTCTCCCCTTGTTTCTTATGTCTCCCACTGCCTCCAATTGTCTGTCATTGTCTCCCCACATGCGAGTCCGCCTTCCCAAGGTCTTGTCTCCCCTTGTGTCCCTTGATGGTGCGTCTGCCCCCCTTGCTTTGGATTATCTCCCATTGTCTGCCTTTTTGTTTCCCTTTGTTGGATGGTGTGCCTTCCCGAGGACTTGTCCCCCTTGTCCCCCAGCTTGTCCCCCAGCTTGTCTCCCAGCTTGTCTCCCAGCTTGCCAGGTTGTCTTTCCTTCTTGTTCTGTTTGGTGTCCGCCTTCCAGCTTGTTTCCCTTCTTGTTTCCGTTTCTTGGATGGTGCGCACGTCTTCCCGAGGCCTTGTCTCCCAGCTTGTCTCCCAGCTGGTCTTTGTTCTTGTTTCCGTTTGTTGGATGGTGCGTCCGCCTTCCCGAGGCTTTGTCTCTCCTTTCCTTAGCTTATCTCCCAGCTTGTCTCCCTTCTTGTTTCCCTTTGTTGGGTGGTGTGTCCGTCTTCCCCCCTTGTCTCCCACTGTCTCCCTTCTTTTTTCCCTTTGTTGGATGGTTTGTCCGCCTTCCCGAGTCCTTGTCCCGTTTGTCTCCCAGCTTGTGTGCCAGTTTGTCTTCCTTTTTGTTTCCCTTTGTTGGAGGGTGCATACACCTTCCTACGGTGTTGTCTCTTTTGTCTCCCAGCTTGTCTCCCAGCTTGTCTTCCAGCTTGTTTCCAGTTTGCCCCCCAGCTTGTCTCCCAGCGTGTCTCCCAGCTTGTCTCTCCCTTGTTCCCCAGCTAAAATTATCGCACGCCGAGAATTGCGCAGACTCGAATGTTCACAGAGCTCTGGGATTGAAAATGATGTGTCATCTTTCACTTTCATCCTTCGATGTTTTCAACGCATCCAATTTGACAGTCCTATGCTGCTTGCTTCGAGCGTTTGGAACCAAATACTTGCACCCCCATCGGATGCTTCCTTCGTCGTTTTTCGACGCCTAGCGTTGCAACAAAGCAAGCGAAGCCGAACAAAATAAACATATACAAAGTGGTTTGTGGCACTTTTTGCAGATATTTTCATTAATTAATCCTGTTGCTGCTATTTCATGTCTTTGACCTTGTTCCCCAAAACACTTCTTGAATCCACCCACTGTTTGGGGTCTACGGTGGTGTAATTTTTTTTCTCCAACCGGCTTGGTTGAACCAAAGTGCTGGTATCTAAAGAATGGAGGTGTTGGGTGGAAACAAGGATGCACATCACTGCAGGTTGCTCATCACAACTTGGCCTGACATTTGTACTTTCCAAACAAAATTGGCATTGTGTGGGAGGTTGGAGGTAATGGTGAGGCTGGTGTTCATTCAATTGCGGGTGTTGACGGATATAATTCAATACGTTGTTTATCATTGCACATTACTGCAGCTGCTCAACACCGTTTTACTTTTTTTCCGAACGTTTAAACCAAACGACGTTGAAATCACCTGGTTTTGAAAATGGAAATCTTGATCGACCAAAACCATGGGATGCTGATTCCAAACATGTTTTGTACCTTTGTGCAGATACCTCATCACGACTTGGTTACTTTTTTTTGGCCACATGCTTCAAGCTCCAGCCACCAATCGTTGAATTTTATGGTTGTTAGACAGGTTGCCCACATGAGGCACGAAAATGCACCAAAAAGATTGAACCATGGGAGAAGATCATGAAAAAATCGTGGGGTATCGCGGCTCGGATGAACATTGGTGGCAAAAGTCTGGCATCACAAAAAAAAATGACACAAGCAACGAATGAAATCAGTTTCTGTGTTTTCGGGATTTGGCTACTGCTCGCGCGGCGTGGGATCATCCTCGGTGATGTATGTTAGACAGGCTGCCCACTTGAGGCACTAGCACGATTGTGAGCAATCGGGAAACATGTGTGCTTGATGGTCAAAACCCAGGGACCTAGGAAAACCTTGTTAGACCCGGGGGTTACGGCGAGGCAAAAGGTCTAGACGAAGGAAAAAACATTAACGCGAACTGCAGCCAGATAACCCAAATAGACCCCTGATTTAGGGTCTAAACGAAAGTTACCAAGGTCCCCGCCAAGTAGTTGACGGTATGGTATAGCTGCATGTACAAAAAGCCGCGCATACACCCTCCACAAACGCATGCACAGTTATACAATCTCATACATATTTGTATATTGAACCGCATGAACTATCATAAACCGCGTGTTTTAAGAATTTTAAAGATAACTTCTGCATTTCCTGCTGTCCCCGTCCTCTCCACTGGTAGCTTTACGGACTTTCTGAGGCCAGTAGTGACAGCATGCCCTACCTGCCCGTGGACATGGTGTTTCGCTTCTTCCCTCGTTGGACGCGGGACAAGGCGACAATGGCTTCCACGAAGATCATGGCTGAGCTTGGTGAGTATTGATCGGATGAGGTTTCTAGATGTTGGATGATGTTGGGTTTTTGTGCCTGAGGCGCATGTGTTGGGATGATGTTGTACCCGTTTTTCCGTGCAAGGTGCGTTTCTTCTACTGGTACTACTTGGTTTCCTTCCTGACAGGTTTCTCAGCTGCAGGGAGCTGGTTGTTCCAGCTGTGATGTCTCTATATGTCTCTTCCAGGACTTGGCATTTTGATGGGTTACTTCCACACACCATATGTGGGCGACAACTACGATCACTTTGCTGAGACCCCCCTCTACCTCTGGGCCGGCATCTCAGTGTTGTGAGTCAGGGAGATGCATTGGAATGTGGCTCTGAACTTGATTGGTGGCTCCATGTGGCTCCTGATACATCTTTACACTGTTGACTCTGGTCTTATCCCCACCCGGGAATATTTGATGCGGGTTGGGCCAATTCTATAGGCCTTCCGGACTTCGGAAACCCTGAAAATGCTTCAAATCAACAGCGCACCCCGGGGCCGAGACCAAATCGAGCTTGGCGAAAACTGGGCAGCTGGAAGAGAACCTCCGAGTGAAGGTTCATCACTTCTACCCGCAGACTGAGTAGATGAAAGTCGCGGCTGTTGACGCTGAGAAAGGAAACATCGAGTTTGGCTCAACGTAATTTCCGGTTTTAATGATTTTCGTAGCATTTTTTCAGTTATATCATGGTTTAAGTGCTAGTGAAACATAGTGAAACTGCAGTTTTTGAGCCAAGACTATTCAAAATGGGGACCCAGGTGCTGTTTGAAACATGCTTCACTGAACCAAAAAAACAGACATAGCTGTCCAAGAATTGACCAACAAGCTGCTAGCGTCTTCCATTGTTATGTGCTGTTCCCGGGGTAGCAATCAATCAGATCAATCAGGTCTTGGTGACAAAAAGGGCGGCGAGCATGCCTCGACTTTGGATGAAGCCATTGATTCTCTGTGAGCTCAATTTTTGGTGACTTTCTTTGGGGAAGGGTTTTGTGAAGCATATCATCATTCTCGTTGCTGTCGTTGCTCCCAAATTTGTATAGTCTCGCCCCTCCGGAACTCAAGCCATCCCCAGTTCGGTAGAGACGAACAAGAGATCCATATCTTCCAGATCAATCTGCTTCATATTCTTCTCATATCTTCTCTTTGTGTGAAAGATGTCCTTCCCATATCTTCGAATTCTTTAACTTCATGATTATCCATGTATATGCAACATGATTGAACAAATTGTTCACACTTACTGTAGTCCTCAATTTTCAAGGTTGTCTTCCAACATTTGATCAGTTTTGATCATGGTTTGTTGGAAATCACCTTTCCAAGCTACGCCATGAGCCCATGCGGACGTGGCGACCACTGACATCTGGGAGGCGCCACAAAAAGACACACAACGGATGTCCAGGATGATAATTCGAGGTAATTCAATGATGCCTCTGATGCCTCCTAATATCTCCTAATCTTTTCCAGACATTTCCAGACTATCCAACTTTCATCTTAGGCTTGCTTTGTAGCACAATGAGCTTTAATAATCCGAGAGATTTCGTATATAGTATTCAGGTATATTCAGATCATTTTATTTGCAACAACCGGTTGTTTTTTAAAATGTTTTTTCCTCTCCCGGGGGGAGGTAGGATCTCGACGTACTGGTAGATGTTGAAGCAAGAGACCTGTCCAAGCCAGAGGGTTTGCATCATCCCAGCATACAAGTGGAGGAACCCAAAAAGAGAGGCCGCAGGGGCTACTCCAAATCTGGAAAGGTAACCAATACAATCCAATACATACATACATACATATATATATATATACATATACATGGCAAATAGATCTTGATAGAGATAACTTAGAGTGGTGTTTTGCTTCTTCTCCGCGAGCGTCCAATCTGGAGAGATATTTGTTTTGACAGGCTTGGTTCTTTTCATGCAGGACCTTGTCAATTACTACTGTAAAGGCAACACAAACCCGAGAGGCAACTGCCAACAAAAAAAGCATCAACAAAAAATAACTAGCCAAAAAGAGGATGGGTCAACGCCCAGAACATCGGAATTGGAGGATCAGTGATGATCAGAGCATCCACTTATGTTTTGTGTCAATCCAGAGCAAAGCCCCCTGGATAGGAAAGTATATGATGACTAGTAACTTGGTTTACTGTATTGCTGGGCTACCGTGCAATAAATGTCTAGGCTGGATATTTTTTCACACTTGGATTATGTGATAAAATCAACTTATAAACCAGCTACCCCCACTATATCCGCATTGTATCCCCGTTGGTTGGTAAACATCCCTATTTGGATGACCAAATCATGGCCCCCCCTGGAGGTGCCTTCGGGTCTCCATTCTGGTGCTCAGTGCCACATGCATTGCCAGCCCCTTGTGCCGAACGAAACGCCCCCAAAAATTCGATGGTTCCAACGTTGGACACGCAATCCTTAGGTGACCGAAATTCATCAACTCATTGGGATGTAGCATCATTTTTCGCATCCCCAAATCACCAGAAAAAACATCCCTAATCTGGTTGGTGGTTTGGAACATTTTTATTTTCCATAATATATGGGATAATCCTTCCAATTGACTCATATTTTTCAGAGGGGTTGAAACCACCAACCAGTAATCATGTTGCGATCCCCAAGATTTCCCACCTTTTCGCTTCCCACCTTTTCGCACCTTCAAGTTCACAAAAAGTGGTCACCTCTCGTTGACCGCACCACTTCCGAAGAAATCCGAACAACACTGCCCCTCATCTTCAGCACTCCCCAGAAACATCCAGAAACCATGGTTCGGTAAGTTGAGTAGGGGATTTACAGTGAACAAAAAACGCGCTTCTTTTGGGACGATTTCTTGGGGATTTGACAGCGAGGCGTGCTGTCACGGATTCTGTGGCGAAAGCCCTGCTGCTTTCATGGGACCTTGGGACTGTGTTCCTGGATGATGGAAGGTGCAGGCCACGGTGAAAACGTTGGAAACGGACTATGGCTGCACGTTGCTGTGGCTGATCCTCCAATAAACAAACTGTAAAATGTCTGGAAAATCTATGTCAGAATCTATGTTAGTAGATGGTGCCCCAGTTTGCTTGCGAAGTTCGTTTTATACGAAGGTTAACCAGGACTTATATGGACATTATATGGACTTATGGCACAGATGTGGAGCCCAATGTGGCTTAATCCCTAAAATCCATTGGTAACCATTGGTTGATCATTATTTTCCCATTAAAAAATATATTTTTTTTTTAAAAATGCATTGTTTTCCCATGTTTTCCCATCCAAAATATCGCCACAAGACCAGGCCTTCTACAGCTTCTGGCGGCGCGCGAGGAACTGAGATGTCAATATGCTGGCAGCTGCTATGTCACTGGAGCGAGAAATTTTTGGGCACTGGGGATGGCTGGGGACTAGACAAAAGATATCAAGGTATACCAATAGATGATATATATACATTATATATATATAAATGTATATATGTGTGTATATATATATATATGTAGATATAGATATAAAGTGGTATAAAATGATACAGCATGATATAACATGATATCAAATGATATAAAATGATTTAAATATATACATACGCATTTTGGGGGGATATTGCTGGGGGATATTGTATGTGAGACATTTCCAAAAGAATTTGTTATGGTATTTGGCACAGTCTTGAGCAGTATTTTTTGCAGGAGGTGTTGGGTTATGATGGGCGGGTTATCAACACAACGTTGGGATTATCTTTATTCATATTTACTTCATTTATCTCACATCTTGGAGTTTTTCATTTTTGGGTTGTATGCTTCTTTAGGTTGCAGGCGACTCCCATTTTTTCAGCGCCTTTTGGGGGTAGGTTGCCAATTACAACCAATTACCAATCAGCAAAACACGACCTCGTAATTTGTTTGTTGGGATTTCACCCGGGAATTTTGAGATGATCTTCAACTGCTGCCCAGCCCGAAATTCATCAACTCTCTTGGCTGTGGGGTTACAATGGCCGGTTTATCAATGGCTCAGCATAACAAAGGGTACCTTAATCCTGCGCGTGGATGAATCATGGCTTGAAATCCCCTTAACCGATCCAATGAAGTACAGCTCTATCACAAATTATCATGATAACAATGATGAACAGAATTATTAGCATTGTAATGATATATCATGATATCATGATATCATGATATATGCTTGAAATCCCAGGCCAATATATATATGCAATTACTAAAAACAGCATCGGGTGCCTCACGTACACGTTCAAGGCTCGCCGCCGCAGTGGCCTCGCGATGGCCTTGCTGCTGCATTCGCTGTGCGTCATGCTCTTCTATAGCCCCTGTGCGTTGAAGGGAAATCCCTGGGCGGCGCCTTAGGGAACAAAACGGAGCAAATATCCATGAGCAATATACTATGATAGTGTAATATACTATGATAGTAAACATCTTGAATCATCTTGAATCCGATTGAATCCTTATAAATCAGAATGGATAACCTAAGTTGGGTGACCAAATTGGATACCCCAGTTGACCATTGCTTGCGCATTACTGCTAGCTGCTGACCAGTCTTATAACGCATGGATTCCTTGCATGGCCACCAAAGTACCACACAATTTTTGACGTGGAAAGCTATAGCCAGTTTGTCAGGGTGGGTATGATGGGATTTGTAAGACCCAGCCGCAGATTTGGTGGTCATTTTGAGTGAAACTTGTGATTCCCCAGTGGATTTAGGGTACTTCCACCTCATTTTCAGAGAAATCCGAAAGGAAAATCCCATGGAAAAAAGGATTTTGACATAGAAATCCCATGGAAAAATGGTTGTTTTGCCTCTAGATCCAACTGACCGGAAGGCGACCAAGCCTTCAGCCGCACCATGCTGTTAGTGGCAGAGCTATTGGTGTTTCTTGGTCATTCGATCAGTTGTTTCATCTGTGTATTTCAACCCATTTTCAAGCAGAAAATCTCTCAATTTCTAGCCGCTTCTAGCCGCTACCTCAATTTTTATCTGCGTCACACAGTCAGGATATTGAAGATATTAAGGATATCAGACTGAAATCTCCACCTTTGAAAAGGGGATTTCATGAGATCATTGGAGAGTTGTTGGGATATGGAGATCGATTTTCGACTTCAGTTGATTCTGATGTGTCTGAAGATGGGGGTACGCCCGGCTAAGTAATGATTTGACCGATTTAGGGATGCTATTTTCTTAGCAAAACCAATCTGGAGAAAGCTGGTTTTTTCAAAGGGTAACCTGGGATGAACGTAGGAAATGCTAGGAAATGCTAGGAAATGCTAGGAAATGGACCACAATGGGAGGTCTTGTGAAGAAAGCCTCTAATTGAGCAACCCCCCTGAGTACTACAATGGCCATTTGAGTAGCTGGTGGCTGCGGTGGTCACCCTGGAGTAAACAGAAGAAATTCCAAAAAAACCGTCACTATTGTTTTGTTGGGCATTTCCATATTTTCTACTTTCATCAGGTTGATCTCTCTCTCTCTCTCTCTCTCTGAAATGTATATATATATATATACATTGCGCCCGCGGTGCGGGTAAGACATTTCCACCCGCAGACGAAGACGAATTCCGAAGACGAATTCCCCGAAGACGAATTCCCCCCCGAAGACGAATTCCCACCCGAAGACGAATTACGAAGACGAATTGCCCCCCGAAGACGAATTCCCACCCGAAGACGGATTCCGAAGACGAATTCCCCGAAGACGAATTGCCACCCGAAGACGAATTCCCCCCCGAAGACGAATTGCGAAGACGAATTCCCCGAAGACGAATTGCCCCCGAAGACGAATTCCCCCCCGAAGACGAATTGCGAAGACGAATTCCCCGAAGACGAATTGCCCCCCGAAGACGAATTCCCCCCCGAAGACGAATTGCGAAGACGAATTCCCCGAAGACGAATTGCTCCCCGAGGACGAATTCCCCCCCGAAGACGAACTGCGAAGACGAATTCCCCGAAGACGAATTGCCCCCCGAAGACGAATTCCCCCCCCGAAGACGAATTCCGAAGACGAATTCCCCGAAGACGAATTCCCCCCCGAAGACGAATTCCCCCCCGAAGACGAATTGCGAAGACGAATTCCACGAAGACGAATTGCCCCCCGAAGACGAATTCCCCCCGAAGACGAATTGCGAAGACGAATTTCCCGAAGACGAATTCCCCCCGAAGACGAATTCCGAAGACGAACTCCCCGAAGACGAAATTGCCCCCCGAAGACGACTTTTTCACCAACGACTTGGGAGAAAAGCATGCATACACTCAAAGCCTACATGCATGTCATATATGCATCTAGTTTTTATTTTGGCAAACCGTAGGGACATTTTTTTGTCCATGGTGGGTTTTCACCGTATAACGGACGTCTTTGTTTGGTTCACTTGCATATTTTCCCTACAAGTCCTAGGGCCTGTCATGTTAGGAACTGGGCCCCCAGTTTCAGGAACTGGCGGAACCATGGTCACGGTTTCAAGGGTTGGTTTATGGACCCCAACACCGATCATGATGACTATAACGAAGGAGGTAACATGAGGTAACGAAATGAACGACTTGGAAAAAAGGAAGAGATAAACAAACCGCATGTAAGACTTGAAAAAAGGAAGGAAATAGCGACATGAACGCATTGACATGAAAGGAAGAGGTAAATGAACAGGATGGAAGCGTTGAAACGAGGGGGAGGAAGTAGCGAACGGAAGGGAAGAGTTAAACCGATTTAAAGCGGAAGGAACGACGTATAGGGAACAGAAGGGAAGAGTTGAAACGAAAGAAGCAGCGAACGGGATTACAAAGAGTTGAAACGAAAGGAAGGAAGCAACGAATGGAAGGGAAGAGTTGCAACAAAAAGACGGACACAATGAAAAGGACGAGTTGACAGGAAAGGAAGAGCAGGAAGAACAGGACAGAAGATTTGAGCGAAACGACGGACTTCGCGAAATGAACGCCTTTAAATGAGAGAAAGAGGTGAACGAATAAGATGAAACAATGGGGAGGAAGTAACGAACGGAGCAGAAGTTAAAACGAAAGGAGCGACGTAGGGAACAGAAGGGAAGACAAAACGAAAGGGAAGAGTAACAAACGAAATGCTCTGGATGCTATAGCCTCTGGGCTTGCTCTTTGAGATTTTGAAAATTCTTTTGATGCTACGCTCTTGGCCTTCACCTGAGGCGTTTCAGCACGCCCTTGACGCTACGCTCTGGAGACAGTCGCCTCTTGAATGCTATGCTAATTTTCTCTTGGAAGTTCGAACAAGCCCTTGGTGCTACGCTCTTGGCTTAATCTTGGGTTTTCCGACACGCTTTTGCTGCTACGCTCTGAGCATCTCTTAGCTTTCTCCTGGGCCAGTCCGGCAAGCTCTTGATGCTACGCTCTTAGCTGTCTATTGGAAGTTCCAACACGCTCTTGGTGTGTTTTATCTTCCAACACTTTCTCTTTGCCTTGTCCTGGGACGTGCCAGCACGCTCTTGACGCTACGCCCTTGGCTTCTCTTGAAGCATGGCGCGCTATTTTTGCTTCTTTTTGTGACGCATTGAATTAAAACACGCTCTTGATGCTACGTTCTTGGCTCCGGCTCTGACACTCTCTTGATGCTACGCGCTGAACCTCGTCTTGGAACAGTCCAAGATGCTGTTGACGCTACGGTCCACCACAATCGTGATGATACGCTCTTATAATTTTTCTTGGAACTTCCAACGCGCTCTTGTTGGTGCTACGCTCCGCCTCTTGACGCTGCGGTCTGGAGAAAGTCACGCTCTTCCTGCTACGCTCTTAGCTTTGTTCTGGAACACGCCAGGACGCTCTAGTTGCTACGCTCTTTTGTTCTTCGCTTGATGCTACGCTCTGACCTCCAACACGTTCTGGATGCTAGACTCTTAGGTTTTTCTTGGTCCTTCAACACGCTCTACTGGTATTGCTTCGCTTAGGTTTCTCTTGGAACTTCCAACACGCTCTTGGTGCTACGCTCTTGACTTCCTCTTGAAACTGCCAGCGTTCTCTTGATGCTAGCCTCCTGTGCTATGCTTTTAGCCTTGGAACTTCCAGCAGGCTCTTGATGTTACGCACTCAACTCCCGCATGTTCTCAATGCTACACGCTCAATACTTTTTCATTGAACTTCCTGAGCTTTCTCCTGGAACACTCCGGCGCTCTCTTCGTTTGGGTTTGGTAATAAGATAAGAAGGTTCTACTACTTCAACTTAATGATTGATCCTTGCCTCAAGGATCTTCAACTGAGGTTGCAAAAGCACGCCACACGATCTTGATAATTACCTCTACGCTTTATATTTCGACATAACCTAGCCTTGGTGGTCAGGCCAAATCCCTATCTGCCCTCCGGCTCCTCTTCCTCTCTACATTCCTCTATTTATCTTCCCACATACAAAGAATACAGTACGCCTGCGCCCTTGCTCGTCATGCCTAGCCTGTGAACAGGCAATGTGTCGTCAGGCAATAATATACACAATGCGTCGTCAGGAAGGTAATGCGTTGTCAGGGGGCAATGCGTCGTCAGGGAATGCGTCGTCACAATGCGTGGTCAGGGGGCAATGCGTCGTCAGGGAATGTGTCGTCAGAATGCGTCGTCAGGGGGTAATGCGTCGTCAGGGGGCAATGCGTCGTCAGGGAATGTGTCGTCAGAATGCGTCGTCAGGGGGTAATGCGGCGTCAGGGGGCAATGCGTCGTCAGGGAATGTGTCGTCACAATGCGTCGTCAGGGGGCAATGCGTCGTCAGGGAATGTGTCGTCACAATGCGTCGTCAGGGGTAATGCGTCGTCAGGGGGCAATGCGTCGTCAGGGAATGTGTCGTCACAATGCGTCGTCAGGGGGTAATGCGTCGTCAGGGAATGTGTTGTCACAATGCGTCGTCAGCGGGTAATGCGTCGTCAGGGGGCAATGCGTCGTCAGGGAATGTGTCGTCACAATGCGTCGTCAGGGGGTAATGCGTCGTTTGGGGGTAATGCGTCGTCAGGGAATGTGTCGTCACAACGCGTCGTCAGGGGGCAACGCGACGTCAGGGAATGTGTCGTCACAATGCGTCGTCAGGGGGTAATGCGTCGTCAGGGGGCAATGCGTCGTCAGGGAATGTGTCGTCACAATGCGTCGTCAGGGGGCAATGTGTCGTCAGGGGGCAATGCGTCGTCAGGGAATGTGTCGTCACAATGCGTCGTCAGGGGGTAATGCGTCGTCAGGGGGCAATGCGTCGTCAGGGAATGTGTCGTCACAATGCGTCGTCAGGGGGGCCGGGGGCATCGCCAATGTGTCGTCACAATGCGTCGTCAGCGTCAGCGCGAAATGTCTTACCCAAGCTGCGGGTGCCCTGTATATATATATACATATGTACATACAAATATGTGTGTATTAAATTGTATATATATATATATACATGTCTTTACCATGAAAATATGATCGGGTTTAACAAGCCAGTCTAGCTTTATATGGCTATAGAACATGTTATAACACAAACATGTGGTTAAACCTGTTGGACTATGTGCCATATACTGGGTACCGTAGTTCGTGAGGATAATCCCACTTTATTTTGGATTGATCTTCAGCTTTTTCTACCATTTTTTCTGAATGGATCCCTATGAAGACCCATATCAAAAACTATCACTTTCCAGGCATGCTCCAAGCCAAAATACATACATACTCACATTCTCAGTATTTTTACCATATTTTACATGCTTTAACAACCAATTGTCCATCCTTTCCCCCATGAAAATTGTCATAAACTGGGTGTGTCTCCAGGTGCCGACAGCCAGGTTGACCTGCAGCTACCAGGACCTCACCTTCGCCGGGGCCTGCCCCGAGCTGGGCGAGTATGTGGTGCGCGCTGGTGCTGGGGCAGGTGCCGAGACTGACCATGGGAATGGGGTCATGGGATCTTCACATATAGCGAACGAGAAAATCATTATTCAATTATTGGTTAATATGGTTATATGTGGTTAATATCCCATCATTATCCCACTATTATTGGTTAATATCCCACAATTACTGGTTACCCTCTGGTAAACGTTTACATAGCTATGGAAAATCACCAGCTTTAATAGGTAAATCAGCGAACGAAATGGCAATTTCATGCAATTTCCGCTACGTTAAATGACCAGAATGGGATATTACTGCAATATCCACAGATATTCCAGGAGTATATGGTATATATGGGATGTATGGAATATTACTGGACTATTCACATCCATATGTGATATATGTGGATATGTGTGGTATACAATATCGATCTGAATATATATATCTCTCTCTCTCTCTTCAATCTTGATATGAATGGAAGATTGCTGGGATATTCATTGACTATTAATGGGATATTAGCATCCGGTTACTACTGGAATAATATAACTTATAACACTATACGGGATATATGGATACACACACATATATATATATATGAATAAATAGGAATGGGATACAATGGGATAAACAACTTGGAATCTTTCATGGGACAAAAAAATGTGGGACTGCAAAGTTGGGCACCAAATCCCAACTTATGTCCATAATCATCCAACAAACCCAGCAAAATGAATCCCTTCGGGTTTATTTAAAAAACAACCCATAGTTTCAGTTTCAGACTTTGCGAATCGCTGGCGCGGCAAGGAATCGCTTGGGCCTGCATCGCCTTGTGCTTCGAGGTGCCCGAGGGCATCCTCAATTGGGGCTTGTGAATGAGGTGAATTTGGGGCCCCAAGTAGTGGGATCATGTAAAATGACTACCAAATGGTTGATCAGTGGGGATGTTTTTTTCAATCGACATATTGGGGTTACCGAATCAATGTTGTCAGTATGTCACATCCCGGAATTTGTACTGGGTGGTATTTTTATGTTTATAATCCCCTGAAGGAGACTGGAACTCGGATCAATATTTTTTGATTCATCTCATCACCATTTCTCCCAATTTTGGTTGGCCCTCTTCATTTCGGTATGAGTCAACATACATATGCCAAAATTATTGGCTCCCCCCAAGTGATACTTTATTGCTACAAACCGAGCACTTTTTTGTGGATTTATGGGATGCATGTGACTTCAGCTCTCCAATTTTTCCGACTTGAGCCAGCATTTTTCCTTAGTAGTAAAACCACAATGTTTAGCTTGGTTGAGGTGCTCCTACATTTCATTTTGGTTGGGTTGAACCCGTCTCTGAATACCTCCATCACTATTGAGCGGCAACGATCATTTATTCACGATTAAAACCCGCTAACCATTGCCAACCATCCTAAGATGATGGGTAAGCCAAAAAAAGTCCACAGATTTCAGCGGTTTCAAAATATTGAACCATGAAGCACTCCCATTTTTGGTTGCCAACCATCTTCCATTCATCTCCATCTCATCTGAATCGAATGGCGCCTCAGGCGCAGCACTTTGCCAAGCAGGCGAGTGGCAGTTGGTTCCTGCCGCTGTTGCCCTTGGCGGTGGTACGGGGTTTGGCGCTGGCTGCAGGGCTGGCAGTCTTCACCAAATACGCGCCTGGGCATGGGCCGTCTGGGTTGGAAAGGGCCATGGGGATGGGGATCGACATCGAAACGGAAAGATGATGAAAGATTTAGGACTGTGACATAGTTTACTATAATAAGAACATAGTTCCGTAAATCCATAATGAGAGCATCGTTTAATAGTGGGATTATAGTAAACTAAGTTCTCATGTTGATTAATTATCCATAGTGAGAACATAGTTTACTATAATCCCACTATTAACGTGGGCTATCATGGGCAAAACAAGTCTACTATAATCAGAAAAAAAAACCAAGTTGAATCGTGAAAGATGCAGCCGGCGGTGCGGATTTCGGCCTTTAACCAGTATTTATCTGAACATTGGGCTGATGAAGGATTTATATGCCGAGTTGCTGATTTTGTTGGAGGATTTATACTTATACGTTTTCACATGTTATCATGATTATTGTTATTGTTTATTATTATTACTATTGAGTGATTATATCATTACTATTGTCATTATCATTGTTGTTCTCATTGGTATTATTGATATTATTGATATTCTTATAATTCAGACTATCATTATTTGTGATTTAGTTGTATATATATATATATACACATGCACATACACATATATGTGCATGTATATGTATATATATATATATGTATTTATCCAATATAGATTACCCTCCAGAAAATTAACATCGACCCTGCCAGATAGGGATTGGAAGATGAGTTCCATCAATAAAACATGCTATTTTCAGGGTCTATGTTAATTTACCAGAGGGTATATATGACAATAACTGGTTGGTGGTTTGGAACATTTGTTTTTTTCCGTATATTGGGAATGTCATCATCCCAATTAACGAACTCCATCATTTTTCAGAAGGGTAGGTCAACCACCAACCAGTATACATACATATATATATATATATATTAACCATCATTAACCATTATTAACCATTATTGACAACTGACAATAATATATGCCATATAACTGGTATATATATATATATATGACACAATAGCATATGCAGAAAACTGCGTGGCTGAGGACTGGGCCTTCGCCACCTTAATGTCCATGGGACTCTTCGAGATGTCGCAGGTGGCCACGCTGGAAGGCAGCCCGGGATTTCAGGGCGCCGATTTCACCAAGAAAGATGCCCAAAATGCTGGGATTTCATAGGATTTCATGGGATTTCATGTGGATTTCATGGGGAACATCATGGGGAACATCATGGTTCTCCGCCATCAAACATGGCCGGGAAATCGGTGAACTGATAGTTTTGATGAACACATCATTTAGTTCATGGGCTTGAATCGAGATGTTCATGGGATTAACACTTTTCAGATTAACATGGATTTACCAGTGGAATCATTGGACATGGAGACCTTTCACTTATTTAACCAATGGGGATCCATGGATTTTACCATTACCCTCTGGTAATTTAACATAGCTATGGAAAATCACCATTTTTAATGGGAAAATCCACTATAAATGGCCATTTTCAATAGCTATTTTGACATCACCAGAGGGTAACCATTGCCACCCACCATTGGACATGGCCATTGGATCCATTGGTGGTCCCATGGCCAGGCGACGCCACCTTCGCGCGTCTCTGCCGCCTCTGCTCCGCCCTCTGTGCGTTGGGTGCGCTGCTGGCGCTGCGCTGCACCTGGCGACAGCTGAAACGCGCCAACCGGCGGCGGGACGCTCCGTGAGAAAAATGGGAGGAATCTAAGGAGGAAAAGGCTGTTTTAAGTGTGTTGTTTTTCTTTAAAAAAGGGGTTTCTATTTTTCTCGTGGATAATAATTATTATGGGAGATTTGTGGGATATCTATGGGATATATGTAGGATAAGGTTGTTTTTCTGGAAACTTGCCGTAGAAACCCGAATGGAATGTATATATTCATGTTTGTGCCCCATTGGGGTATTTAAAATTAGGAGACATGACTGCTACAGAAAAATTGGGATTTTTTCCCCACATCTTTGTGTGGGGTTCTTGTTTTTGATTCTGTATCCCGGGCTTCTCCTCCTCCTCCCGCCGCCTCCGTAACACAACACACACAAACTTAACATACAATAATTTCACACACACAAACTTAACACACACAAACTTAACAGACAATAACTTCACACACAAACTTAACATACAATAATTTCACGCACACAAACTTCACATACAATAATTTCACACACAAAAACTTAACACACACAAACTTAACACACACAAACTTAACAGACAATAACTTCACACACACAAACTTAACATACAATAATTTCACACACACAAACTTCACATACAATAATTTCACACACACAAACTTAACACACACAAACTTAA